ATAATAAAAGAATAAAAATTTGAATGTTAGAATTCTTAAATATTATTGAAATACAGATATATATTTCAATAATGTATTTAGCATTAAATCATTCTTAAACCTTTATTGGGAAAATTATTTATTACTCAAACATCTTTGGTTGTCTAAGTAGTTATCTACAGGATGCAAGCAATAAAAGGAATAGAATATGTATAGTGGAATACATGGACTTTGAATTAACACAAATATAGAACAAAATAAAAACAATTAAAAATAAAATAAAAGAAACACAAATGGTAATTAAGAGTAGTTATTGATTTTATCCTGAAGATGGCTACTTACACAACCAAAATATTCAATTAGTGAATAATTTTGCTGGTAAAAATTTAAGAGTGATTTAATGAAATATTCAATATCAGTTTGCATAATTCTTATATTTAAAGTTTTTTATTGTTGACAATAGCTTAAATAATGACTGAAAGTGTGAAATAATGATTCTTATGTTACTTAATTTTACTAGATTTTTACTGAATTGTATTTCTATAAAAAAAAGTTTTTTATTCTGAAGTTATTTGAGAAAATTTTTGCTTTAGTCTTTACATTAAATTAAATTGTAATATAAACTATATTTTTAGTCTTTCTTGTAAACTGATAATTAAATTGTTTCAATAAATAAGGAAGTATAATTGTTGCATTTGATTAATCCTTTCAAATACAGGAACTACTATATATTTTTTTAAATGTAATGTTAATTAAATAAATTTAAAGTTATTTATTAATAATTAAGTAATAAATATAAAAAATATCTGTATTCTTAAGAATGTGAAATTGGAATTTCATTAGAGAAAGAGAGCAAAAGGGAAATGGTTTTGTAGATAATGCATATAAATGAACAAAACTTGAAAAATTTAAATGTGTTAATGAATATAATTTCATATTAATATATTTTAATATTTTAGCATAAATCAACATTTAAGGGATTAGCCTCTGTTTCTTAGCTTAATAACTTAATGTATAACAGACCTGTAGTTCTTTTTATGAATTTATTTGTATCTTATAATACATTTTAATATCCATATTATTTTAAAATGGATGTTAATGAATATTAATGTTTTGTGTGTTTTAAATGTTCACTAATGTATTGATATATAAAAAAGTCATTTTAAAATATTAAAAAATTAACTCAAACAATTTTTCTAACGTAAGTAGAATGTTTGTTTAATTTTCTTTAATATGATAGATAATTTTCTTTAGTATAGTAGATAGTAATGTTTATATTTAGTAAAATTTAGAAAAATTATATTTGTATTACCAACATATTCTATCTAAGAGCTATCAAATAAGTTTATTTAAAAAAATTGAGATTCCAGTTGTTTTGAATAAAGTTATTTGATGGCTCTTAGAAGCTTCAATTGGATGTTGTTGTTAATATGGAGTCATTGTTTCTTACTGTTCTTTAATTACATGTATATTCATTCAATATTATAGGAGAAATTTTATCTCTGCTGGTGCTGCTGCTGGAGTTGCTTCAGCTTTTGGTGCTCCTGTTGGTGGACTCTTGTTTTCAATGGAAGAAGTATCTTCTTTCTGGAATATGAAGCTATCTTGGCAAACATTTTTTTGTTGTATGGTAGCTTCATTTACTACTGATCTTTTTAATTCAGCTTTCACTGCTTTTCGTTATCAAGGAAATTTTGGACTCTTTCGAACAGAAAAATACATTCTTTTCCAGGTATAGCAACAATTTATAAAAAAAAAAATTTAATGTGTCATTACTTACAAGGTATTTGCACATTCTAACAGATTAAAACTTTACATTTTTTTTTCTAGGTAGAAACAGGTATTGATTTAAATTTTATAGCTCTTATTCCAACAGTTATTGTTGGTATCTTAGGAGGAATTATGGGAGCAATGTTTACATTTATTAATTTAAAAATTGCACGAGGAAGAAGACTATTATTATCATATGTAAAATCTCCTTTGGAAGAAAAATTTGTCAAGTTAATGGAACCAGTACTAATAATGGTAAATATTTTAAATTTCAATAAGTTTTTATAAACATAACTGTATATTATAAACATTATTACTTATTTTAGATTATTATGGGAACAATATNTTTGGTTCTATACATTTTTTTTTTCCCGCAATGACTTGAACAATATATTAAAATTATTATATAAATATTAAATAAATATATAAAATAATTATATAAATAATTATTGAAAACAATATGAGAACAGATGCATTGCATCAGTTCTCATATTGTTTTCAAGACATTAACAGATGAGCAATGTGAAGTATGTGTGCTCATCAGCAAAGAACTGTAAAAAGTTAAATTTAAAAACTCACGCCAAGCTTTGTATAGTTTCTGGATACAAATTCACTGAGTTCAGCGTTAATAAAGATCCTTTAGTATTAACACAAGCACTTTTGATGAGTGTATAACCATTGTCTTCAGGTGAAAAGAACAAATTTTAACAAAACAAACGTGCAGGATGTTCCAAAGGAACAGAATATTTAAATTCAAACCAAGTGTCTGGAAATTCTGTTAAGAACGTGCAACTAGTTTTTGATATGTTTGAATCTTTATATCTTACGATGCTAGCAGCGCATGCATGGAAATGCTACCACGTTGGCGATATGATGTTAGGCACGTTTCGTTTTTTAGACGCCGATACAAGGCAATCCACACCCCGGGTAGATCGAGGGTGGGAACATTGCACACTTCTGAAGTAGCCGTGAGAAGCACTAAACCCCTGAAAACCCCTAGAAAACCCCTGACTTTAGAAAAGTCAGGGGTTTTCTAGGTGTATCGTGTAAGTCCCTGACTTTTCTAAAGTGGTTAACCACTTTAGAAAAGTCAGGGGCTTACACGATACACCTAGAAAACCCCTGACTTTTCTAAAGTCAGGGGTTTTCTAGGGGTTTTCAGGGGTTTAGTGCTTCTCACGGCTACTTCAGAAGTGTGCAATGTTCCCACCCTCGATCTACCCGGGGTGTGGATTGCCTTGTATCGGCGTCTAAAAAACGAAACGTGCCTAACATCATATCGCCAACGTGGTAGCATTTCCATGCATGCGCTGCTAGCATCGTAAGATATAAAGATTCAAACATATCAAAAACTAGTTGCACGTTCTTAACAGAATTTCCAGACACTTGGTTTGAATTTAAATATTCTGTTCCTTTGGAACATCCTGCACGTTTGTTTTGTTAAAATTTGTTCTTTTCACCTGAAGACAATGGTTATACACTCATCAAAAGTGCTTGTGTTAATACTAAAGGATCTTTATTAACGCTGAACTCAGTGAATTTGTATCCAGAAACTATACAAAGCTTGGCGTGAGTTTTTAAATTTAACTTTTTACAGTTCTTTGCTGATGAGCACACATGCTTCACATTGCTCATCTGTTAATGTCTTGAAAACAATATGAGAACTGATGCAATGCATCTNTATCATATGTAAAATCTCCTTTGGAAGAAAAATTTGTCAAGTTAATGGAACCAGTACTAATAATGGTAAATATTTTAAATTTCAATAAGTTTTTATAAACATAACTGTATATTATAAACATTATTACTTATTTTAGATTATTATGGGAACAATATCAGTATTTTTGCCAGCTGCATTCAGTTGCAGTCAGTTCACATGTCATTGGGATAATAATTACAAAGCTAGTTGTGATGGTCCACTACCTTTACATACTGAAAAAACAGTTGAATATTATACTTGCCCTGAAGGAACTGAAAAGTATATTAATGGTACACGTTATACTAATGGTACTTTCAATGAAGGTAATTATTCAGTTTCTTTGTTTTTCTAATTTTTATAAATTGGATTAATACAAAATAACTGGTAAAATTATTTTATATTGATTTTTGTATACATTCATATATTTATACATACATATATACATCTCCAACAATTTCTTTAATTTGGGAAATCTTTAGACATCAGTATCTATATATAAATAGTTTTAATAAAAAATTAATTACTGTCAAGAAAAAGAAACCATTGTAATTTGAAGTAATACAAAGCAAATTGATGAAGATAAGAATCTTCAAAAAGACAAATGTGCTTAACTTTCAACTATTCATATGCCATTTTCTTGTACAAACATAAAGGATTAAATTTTGATGCCCCATAGTGCAGAAATTATTTTACTTTTTTGAGATTTCAGATTTTTTGCTAACGCACTTGACATTTCCTTTCAACCGTACCATTTTGTTTTTCTGTAAGAAGTCTGTTTCTTCTCAAAATTTTAAAAGAAACAAAAATATGATTCCAAGTTTGGAAAGAGATCAAAACAGACTATAGACAATTAATAAATCTCCCAGGAAATTTCATTTGGTTCTATACATTTTTTTTTTTTCCACAATGACTTGAACAATATATTAAAATTATTATATAAACAAATCCATAAACGTATGTGTGAATTTTATATAATGTGCCAACAGAGACAGAAGTAAATAAAAATCATTCAATAAATATAGCATGATATAATT